GAATTTCGATTTCGGACGACGGCGCTACTGTGAAATAGCAAACGCTATTGCATTTTCGTCCTTCTATTTTAAACCCCGCCTCACCCCTCTAGCCTCCTAAAAAAACCTACCAAACCCCCCCCCCCCCCCCCATTTAGTTCCACCTAAAACCTCGGAGTGATAACACACTAATTGATCCAATCATCACCGTTGGGAAAGCCAAAGCCTCCGATACACTAAAAACAAACCCCCAATCCTGAGTTAAACGCTTTTTGCAGATTCACCTTGATCACACATCTTGGAGAAAGAGATACCCGGTTATAACCTTTGACAAGCTCAGGCACCGTCAATATATTATCCACGATGCCCCTTCCCGGAATAAAAACACTCTGGCTAATCGACATCAAGTCCGACAAGACATGCTTTATCCTATCTACAATAATGCGAGAAACGTATTTATAAATCACATTGCAACACGATATGGGGCGACAGTCCTTCACATGCGTAGGGTAGAGAATCTTCGGAGCTAGAACTAACGTTGTTACATTAAAAGAAACCGAACGAATAAGCTCAGACTTCGCCTCATTTGAGATTGAGCAGCCCAACAAATCCTTGAGGAGCTCCACTGTCAGACGAGCCCAACAATTTCCCGTAAAAATCCACCATCTCATCCGCAATCAACTCATAGGTGTCAAGAATCCTCCATTGGTCATTAGTGAGGGATTTAATACTCTACCGGTTCTGGCAAATCTTCACCATCGAATGAAAAAAGTTGGAATTTTATACTATATAAATATATCAGTTTAAATAAAAATATATTTATAAATAAATTTATAATGATCGTAGTCCAAATATTTAACCTTTGAAAATACTTCTTCTCTGTCTTTAAAGTAGTCCAAACTCCAAATAAATAGCATCCATGATTCAACAGTAGATTCATCTCTATTCATTCCGCTATTTTTCTAGCAACATTTTCTATATTCTTATTTATCATCGTGAAACTAAATTCAAAAGAAAATTTCATTCACAGTATGAGAGTAAGATGCGAATAAAAAAGTTTACGATTATTACATAGGTTCCCCATTCTTTTGATACTCTGAATGTTTGTTTGTAGCAGAACTCTGTTATTTTGGGTAATAAAGCTTAATTATCCAAAAAAAATCCTCCTTAAATAGTCGGACAAACGACGCGTCCAAATGACCGAAACAACACACCATTTCATCGCGCTAAGCACAAGGCGTTGTGCATTCAAGCCAACGGGTCGTTCAAGATACAACCATCACAACATTAATTCAAGAGTGGCTTATTTAATGCTAGTAATGTTCCAGTGGACAAATCTCGAATAAAATCACTTTATGACATTTTCTCAACTATGAGAAATGTTCTATCCTATTCTCAGCTCAGGATCTCTGAAAATTCAAAGGAATATCTCTGCATCCTCGGAGAAAGAATTTCAACAATCTCCTTTTCACCTCATGATATACGAAAAACCTAGAGGAACATCTTCGCATCATCGAGGAAAGAACTTCGACACCCTCTGACATCATTTGAGAACCTACAACCTCTGATATGCTCATGTGGGAAAAATTAGTCCAATAGGGTATATGACTTTTTGCCTCGATGTAATAAATTTTAATAAAAATTTATATTTTATTCGAACTCGTCATCCCGGCGTGACGAATTCCAATAATACTGTAGAAAATATCGTAAATCTCAAAATAAATTTTGACTTGCCCTAATGGGCTAAATAAAAAATTCATTATCTTTATTGGGCTAAATCAACCGCTCATGTGACCTTCCAGAGTCAAATATACAGTTAACTGATTATATTCACTTAGCATGTTAATCTAGTGTGGCCATAATAATCACCAAAGATCGCTATAAAATCTCTTGATCAAGATTAATGGAATCATTCGAATTCTCTCTCATCACTATTCTCTCTTCTACCTCCTCATGGGAACAAAAGACTAACACCGGCCAATAACCGTTTCATACCAATTGCAATTATTTGTAATGATATTGTTTCATCCACAAGCATAACATTTTAAATTAAGGAAAACTTATCGATTTAAAAAATAAACTCATACATTTACTAAACGATATATAATTAAAATTTGTTTAATTTAATAAGTAAATTTGAGAGATACACTTAAACATTTACCTAAATTTGTAATCATGATGTTGTAAACCCCAGACATCATGATATTTTAAGATATGAACCTGGTCCGTACAATCGGATATTTGGATGAACAATTGGAATAAACAAATTCCAATATACAGGTTTGATTAAATGCATGAAAACGACCATGTAATTATCACCCGCACTATCTCTTTCTAGTTTTATTGCTTCCACTTAATTACGACAATCCACAAACTTCAACCCACTTGTTTTGTCCCCCAAAATTGCACTCCCAGACAAAATTTGGATGATGAAATACTGGGAGAGTTGAGTTATTTAATTCAGTGATCCATAGAATTTAAGAAATATTTATATATAAAAATAGATTTGATTTATTTAATTTTTAAAATTCAATTTAAAAAATTAGTAATTAACTTAACTAATTTCAAGATTGATAGACCTAGAATACATTTAATCAGAAAAATAGACTAAAGTGCCGCCTAAAATGTACATAGTGTCATCCCCAATTGCACTTCAAGCTCATTTTATTTTATTTTATTAAATGAAAATGGTCCCGGTAAAATTTTGTTCACAACTGAAATACAATTTTAGGTAACGAGTTAAAATATTCCTAAAAAACAAGTTGCAATCAAGTTGAAAAAGGAAGGAAAAAGAATATTCCTAAACTATTAAATCAACAATTAAAATCGAAATAAGTAAAAATCAAGTGATTTCAATGATTAAATGAATATTTGTTATATCTAGAGGTAATGAGTTCGAGCACGTCGTCTGCAATAGCATTTAAACATTCATGATCAAATGTTTGAGAATTTTTCGTACAAATACTTCCTTATAATTACTCTATACTAATAAAAAGAAAGTCAAACTCAATAAGTTAACTTAGAAAGAGTGACATAAAATATAGTCTATATAAAGAGATAGTGGTCCTAGTAAAATAAGTTAACTTGTATTACTCGTATTCTGTTAGATACTCTTCTACATCTAATATTTTATTCTTAATAATTTGACATATTTAAATCTTATATTTTTTATTTTTATCAAATAAGTATTGATTTTATCATAATTTATCCTAAATTTTATATATATTAAATTTGGTTACATATTGGAATGCGTAAGGATATCATTATCATACGGATGGAGAAGGGGATTTCTAGGCCTTTTTCGAGTTTTGACTTTCGTTAGAGCCTTCTCTCTTCTCTTATATTCAAACCCATGTTTGATGAGCGATTGAAATTGACAATTCGGAACCACACAATAAATGGTAATCATCGGTGAAATAAAGTTAACCCATAACTTGACACTTTGGAGTTTTTCAACTTGGTCACTAAAATATTATTAATGGGACATGTCATATTTCTACATGTGAAATTTAAAGGTTTGTTGACAACTAACAATGGATGAAGGCATGAATGAATTAGTCCATACGACTATGCCCTCCAAAAATAGAGTCCTTAGTTTTGAAAGGACATTTCATATATATTTTTCTTGATCAAATACGTTGAACACTCTTTCGATTTTAGCACCAACAATGTTTGAATGTTTGGATTTCATGAAAGACTGCTTTCAAAGAGATTATTTATACGTGCAGCAGACAATACTTCTAATTATTGATTTGGTCTAAAGCCAATATCTTTTAGTTTTAATGCTTAAAATTATTAGTGAAACTTAAGCCTTTTTTAACTAATTTAAGTGGAAGCCAACTCAGTGCCCTAACCTATCAAATATTCCACGTCGGCGATAAATTAGAGTTATGCGTTTTGGGGATGGGGTGGCAAGCCAACCCTTTGAAAACTCAAAACGCCCCTCATTTCAGTCTAAAACAAGCTGATTCATGTGGTAAGGTAATGTGAGAATTAGGACATGCACACATTTCTATTCAAAATATATATAATTTATGCTTCTAAACCATCGAGATTATAAGAAATTCTAATGTATAAAATTTACAAATATTATAAAGAAATTCTTGAATTCTATGGATCCTTATCCTAAATCCAAAAAATAAAATGTTACCAAATCAACCCATAATAATCAGGAGGAAAAAACTCAATGCATTAATCTCTTTTGATTGCATAACGATTAAATAGTTAAAATTATATTTCATTATTTAATGACTATACATTTTATAATATATTATCCTTTTTTATATCCATATTATTCAAACTGATATAGTTGTTTTACTTATAAACGCTGGATATAAAGATAAAATATATTATATTTTTAAAGATTATATTTTTCTTTGTACGGCTGTTTCTTGTTCACACGAACGGAAATAAACGGGGTAAGAAAATCTCGATTTAGAGTTTTCGGTTCATATTCTTCTGGATGTTTCATCTGGACCCCACTCCCCAGCACTCAAAATGCTTTCTGTTCTATCTGTTGTACTTGCCCACGTAATACCCACTTGTGATTTTTACATGTTATGAACGGACCCGATGATTATAGGCGTAGTTGAAGATTACGTATTAAATTCTAAAAACGTAATACATTAATTATAATTTAGCTATATTTCTTATAAAAACATTAGAATAAAAGATCATTAATTACTGGAATAAAAGTTGACATTAATTCAGTGTAAACAGGATAGGCTTAGCTTAAATATATTGAACAATTCTCCATTAGGTAGGTCGTGGAGCCAAGTAGACGGTCCAATCCAATTGAGTAGCGATTCTCTCTTAATTAACACGTAACGAGATGTATTGCAATTTGAGTGGCCACCATGGGCAAAGGAATTTATTAACGAAATTGACATTTTGAAAGAGTCTAGAAAAACCAGGCCATTGGAAAATAACATTAGATTAATACCGATCCACGGTAATCCTAATCCGCCACACGTTGGACTGGTGAGGCCAACGTTGTCAACGCTCCCACAACACAAGATCAATCAATTTCCATTCCGTCTCAAATATAAAGCAACACCCACCAAACCTTTTTTCATTTCAACTTGTCAAACAAGAAAAGCACAACTCCGAAACGAAACGATCGCAGGAGAAAGAAGAGAGTTAAGGTAGAAAACCAAAAGGTAATTGAAGCAAGAAATGAAGCTAGTTTGGTCTCCGGAGACAGCATCCAAGGCTTACATTGATACTGTTAAATCTGTAAGCATCAATCAAACCTTCTAAATTCTGATCCCCAGATGTTTATTTCATTTGATTCTTGATGGGTTTTCTCTTCTTTCTTTTTCTAGTGTCAACTTTATCACGAATCTGGTGTAGCAGAGCTTGTTTCAGCCATGGCAGCGGGCTGGAACGCGAGATTCATCGTGGAGACATGGTCATTGGGTGGCGCCACCGCAACAAGCGTCGGCCTGGCAGTTGCTAGCAGTCATACAAACGGAAGACATGTATGTATGGTCCCCGACGAACGGTCAAGTTTAGCATACGTTGAGGCCCTAGAAGAAGCCGGTATGTCAAGGCCGGAAGTCATCGTGGGGGAACCTGAGGAAGTAATGGATAGATTAAACGGAATAGATTTCATGGTGGTGGATAGCCAACGAAAGGACTTCTCCAGGGTATTAAGGCTGGCGAAAACGAGCAACCGAGGAGCAGTTCTGGTATGCAAGAATGCTAATTCCAAAAGTGCTTCAAGTTTCAAATGGAGAAGTGTTGTCGATGATGGTTCACGACGGCTTGTCCGCTCCGTGTTTCTTCCGGTAGGAAAAGGCTTGGATATTGCTCATGTAGCCACCACCAGCAGCGGAGGAATTTCAAGTTCAGGCAAAGGCAAAAGGCGGTGGATCAAACATGTTGATCGACAATCGGGGGAAGAATATGTCATACGAAAATAGAATAATCTTATATTTCTAGAAGAAAAGAAAGTATTAATTGTATGTAGATCTCTTTTTCGACTTTCTTGGTCTTGACTATTGCATTGTACAGGAATTTGAACCTGAAAATTGTTTAGAAGTTTCCAAATCCAGTCACCAGGTTAAATCAAATTAGTGTAATTAGCAGCCTATGTTTTTTTTATAATAATATCAAGAGAGTCGTAGTTCGTTTGCCCAACTACATGAACAAGTTTAACAAGAAATAAGGACAAAACACTCCTTTAACCTCCCTTAATTAACTTTCTACTTCGTGTCTGATTTGATGATCTGATCTAATGGTTTAATCTCCTGAAGGTTTTCTAGTCTGAAAATGACATCTTGCTTTTAAGCAATTTTAGGTAGGATCCGAATTCGACGAATTCCAACTCGATCTGATTTGTTTAATTTTTTTTAAAAAATTGGATTCAGGTCAGACTGGGTTAAGTTTTTATAGAGATTGTGTTTGGGTCGGTCGGGTCAAGTCGGGTTCGGGTTAAGGTGAAAATTTCTAGAATCGACCCGACCTAAGAAAAATATATAATTTTACCCTTTATATTTAGAGATAATTACAATAATATTCTTTTATATATTCTTTTTTCAATTAAATCTCTATTTTTTATGAAATAAAAATAATATTTTTTAATAAATATATTATTTCAGGTCGGATCAACTATGACGGATTTTATCTCAAAAAATTGAATCGATTCAGATTTGGATTAAAGATGTATAATTTTCGGATAAGATCAAATAAGAAAAAATCCAACCCGACCTAACTCATGCTCTTCCTAAATTTAGGTTGAGCATGAAACACAAATAAACTACAATCCAAATCCAGCCACACTTTAAAAACACATAGAATCACGAAAAAGATAAAAATGTATTGATAACAAGTTAACCTGAAATCGATAAATTTCGATCCTATTTAATGTACTAGAGTCAAATTTTAAAAAAAATCGAGTTTGGATCGAATTAGTTCGGGTTTGGTTTGGATTGAGAGTTAACAAATTTTGCCCAACCCGAGAATAATAGTATAATTTTTTTAAATAAATTTATGAATAATTACTATAATATCATCTCTCTATCTTTTTATATTGAATCTTTATTTTTATCGAATTATTTATGGTGAAAGGTAATATTTTTCAAGTCAGATAAGATTCTATTAAAATATATATATATTTTTAAGTCAGATTAGATTAAAAAAAATCTGACCTAATCCTACGTGCCATCTCTAAAAGCAGGTGGCAGTGTTCGCTTGTAGCTGTAAATGTGAAACCACTCTGCGTCTGTGTAATTTTTCTGATTGTCCTATAGGGTTGGTGACACGTGGAATGAGAAAATTTCAATTATTGTTTTAGAATATCAGTGACAGAGTTTCTCCATCACTATTTTAGCATATCAGCGACGGATCAATAACATATTAGTGGTGGAAGTAACATTTAGAACTATTCTCTTCATTGTGACAATTTAGTGACGGACACGTGTCAAAATATAAGTCCGTGACACAATTGACTAGTTTTAATAGGAGATTTTGTGTAAGACGGTTAAAATAATGTGAAAAACGGCGTGACTAGTTAAATAGGTGATCGGTTAAAAACGTTATCGGGAATGTTATATTTTTTCACTGAAAATATTATTTGTGTTGATAATAATCGATAAAATGCGCAAAAAATATTGACTTTAACATAACCGATTAATTACTAGAAACATTATCAATCATAATAACATATAGGTAATGCTTATGTAACGTAATAGGTAGCGCATTTTAAAGCTGATGGAGCCTTAGAAATCTGACGTTAACAAAATAGGTTAATTACTTGATTTATTATCAATATTATCAACATATTAGGTAGCGTCTAAAATGTTACCAAAGTTTAAGCCGATGGAGCCTTATAAATCCACGATAACAAAATAAGTTAATTATTGAAAACATTATCAACCTAATAACATACCAAGTAGCGTTTATTTAATGTAATAGGTAGCACCTGTTTAAAGCTGATGAGGCCTTAGAAACCCGATGATAACAAAATAAGTTAATTACTTAATTTGTTATTAGTATTATCAATATATTAGGTAGCGCCTAAAATGTTACCAAAGTTTAAGCTGATAGAGCCTTAGAAATTCGACGATAACAAAATAGGTTAACTATTGGAAACATATCAACCATAATAACATAACAAGTAGTGTTTATTTAATGTAATAAGTAGCGCATGTTTAAAGCTAATGGGACCTTAGAAATCTAACGATAACAAAATAAGTTAATTACTTGATTTGTTATCAGTATTATCAACATATTACTGTGCACATTGTTAATTTACCTATTACTTTAAAGTAATATGTTTCGAAATTATAAGAATCGATACTTATATGACAATATAGATACTTGTACATTTACGCCTATTTTCATTATACCGGTAGAAAAGTTTACCGTGTACATTGCTAATTTACCTATTACTTTAAAGTAATAGGTTTCGAAATTCTATGTATCGATACTTTATACATGTGTATCAATACTTGATGTTTACACCTATTAACATTATACCGATTGACTTTTACCATTTTCATTGTAAATTAACTTATTACATTAAAATAATAGGTTTCGTAATTATAAGTATGAAAAAATTATATATGTGTATCAATATATTTTGCGTACAAATTGTTTGAGAAACATACTGGAAAAAAGTATCGATACATATATTAAACATATCGATACTTTATGTTTACGACTAGTACCATTAAAGCAGTAGATTTTTATCGTTTACATTGTAAATTTACCTATTACTTAAAAGTAATCGATACTTTTTGTGTGCAAATTGTTTGAGATGTTTACGACTATTACCATTAAACCGGTAGATGTTTACGCCTATTATCATTATATCAATTGACTTTATATATGTATATCAATACTTTTTGGTGCAAATTGTTTGAGATGCATATTGGAATTAAAGTATCGAGACCGATATAACAAAGTATTGATACGATGTGTTTACGTTATTATCATTATACCGATATACTTTTATCGTTTACATTGTAAATTTACCTATTACTTCTACAATGCTCTTTATATATGAGTTATCAGAATGTTGGATTTACACATAAATACCTCTACAATGCACTTCAAAGAGGTAAAGCAAAGAAAATCGTAAATGGGGATGTCAATGCACTATTTGCTTACTTCAAACCGATACTTGGAGTATCAATACTTGGAATTTCGAAACCTATTACTTTAAAGCAATAGGTAAATTAACAATATAAACGAATAATTCCATTATTTCTCAGAATCCCTCCATCCAGAGACACAACACCATATTTTATGCAACTATGAGCCATTTCCATATGTTCCCTTGTATCGTATACTTGAACCTTGCCAAACAGTCTGTAGAATAGTGTCTCCCACAAGTCATGGTCGGAATCAGTTCTGTAGTTGGGATTATACAGGTTAATCATGTTGACTGCATAACCAATAAAACCCAGAGGCAGTGTTCAAATGGTAAGCTAGAAATTGATAAGACAAGCTTCCTTTGACGGTTATTGAACTCAACCCCTCCCAGGTAAGGATTGTTTTAGGATTTGCGGAAGCTCAAATTAATAACCAAAAGAGTTGCAAAGGGGGTGAATTGATAAAAATATGTTTAAGGAGTAAGGAGAGTAAAAGATAAGACAATGAACATAAAGATTTATAGTGGTTCGACTTCTCAACCAAGTCTACTTCCACTACCTTAGCTCCTCACTAAGAATTTTCTAACAAACTTACTAATTTGTTCTTTCTTTTTCAATGATCAAGAGTAACCTTTACAAACTCCCTATCTTTTTACTTGGCTAAGATAGAACCAAAAACCCCTTTACAAAAGGATAAAAGAAGTAAACAAATAAACCTCTCAAAGGTAGGATGTTTACAAAATTAAGGTCACACAAACACAATATTTACAAGAGAAATGAAAATAAGAATGAAAAACTCTTCTCTTGTGTTCGATTGCTTGGATAGGTGTTTTAACCCTTCTTCAAGTGTCTTGAACTTGTATTTATATGTTGGAATGTTGTTGTGAACGTTTCTAGCCGTTATGAGTGTTTTGGAGCTGTTAGGGATCAATTTTCGTGTAAAATAAAGCTGCCCAGAACAGAGGGTATCAGTACTCTTAAAGGGAGTATCGGTACTACCTTCGTTTATATTTAAATCAACTAGTCGTTACTAGCCATTGGGGCCTAATGGTATCGATATTATACCTATGGTATCGATACTACTATACAAAGTAGTATCGGTACCCCTTTGGGTATCGATACTATTTTTGCATTCAGGAATTTGAGCAATACTGGTAGTATCGATACTACCTAGTGAGTATCGATACGTCCCTTACCTTTGGTATCGGTACCATATGAACAGTATCAGTACTGTTCATGAGGTATCAATACTATAAGAACAATATCATTACTACTTGTCCAAAAAAACATTTTGTGCTCAATTCCACTTTTAAGGACTTTGAATTATTTTTTAAAACTTTGAAAAACTTTGAATAAATTCAATTCAAGTCTAAAAACATTTTTCCTTAATTGTTATATCAAAATATAGTTCAACAATCTCCCCCTTTTTGATATAACAAAACATTTGAAAATTTGCTTTTGGTAAAACTCCCCCTTAATAAAATGTTTAATGAAAAAGGTACCAATTGTTGGAAAATATGTGAAAATGTTCAGCTCCCCATTTTTCATTAAGAAATTAATTTTTTCAAACCATATTTCTCCCCCCTTTTTGTTAAATAAAAAAGAATTCAACTTTAAAGTAAAAAATTAACTTTGGAGAGTAAGAGTTAAATTTTATCTTAAAATCATTTGAAAAATCAAAAAGCTCCCCTCAAAAAGTGCATTCCAAACAAAAATTTGACTTTAAAAGCTTGACACTTAAAAAAATTGAACTTCAAAAAAGAGTAAAAAACATGTTAGTAACACATGAAATTCAATATATCCAAGTCTAAAATAAACTTTATGCCATATCAAATGTTGAAATTAAGTGCATATACATAAAGCTTTTCAAAAATGTTATGCATTTGAAAATTTTGATATCAATTGTTACAGAGATATCTTTAACATTTAAAACACATGCATAAACATTTAAATTTAGGTCAAAAATTTAAAATTTGTAAAA